AAAACCAGACCGGAATACTTACAAGGGATTGTTCGACGGATGACTTGGCACGCCAGACACAAATGCGCACCATGTTAGTACAAGGACTACTTCACGTACATCCTCTTTGAGCATTCCCCCCCAGTTCGAACGACAACTCCCGTCGCGATATTGGATGTTCTATTCTACTTGAAAAGTAATTGATGCCAACTTTGCTTTGATATTCATCACATTCACAAATATAGTGATTAATTTTCTTTAAATAAAAACCACCTTATTTTATGGAAAAAGTGCTGGAAAATTGCGTCTCAGTTTATAAATTGAAGCTTGGAGGGGTAGTGATAGATCGATCAATCTTTAATCTCGTTAAAGTTAAATAATTCATAACGGTTTTATAATACAAAAGGACGGACCAAATTGATCGCCACGTTCGTTTTATCCTATGTAAAATATTGATGTAACGTTTTTATCAATTTTTTTAATTATAATCTTATATGCTCGCAGGAATAGGGTCATAGTACAGAAATATTATACAATAGAATAATCCTTAACATCATTTTGAACTATACCACCCTGCTTATCCTATTTTGACCAATAATTACCAAGGATACTTGAGTTGTATATTCAGAAATTGGATGCCTATTGTTACCTCTTCTTATCCCTTCAAGCATTCCATAATTAATCCTCCTATTCTGCTAGAAATTCGTCGCTGGTATTACATCGATACGACCTCGACTGTTAATATAGATAACCTAATCGGATTTATAAAATTAAATTAAAAATTTTGTTCACATTTAAATCAATAAATTACTTTTTAATTCTCTTTGAAATTTTTTTTTCAAAATCCAATTTAATCGTTAAATTCTGAAATACACAATTGAAGGGCATGACAAAAGAGATAGAACGTCCGTTTTCCAAGGAATATTTAGTCACAATTTAAAAGCGACGACTTGCAATTACGGGGTCCGTTTGATTCCAGTTTCTTATGAAATGAAAGAACGTCGGAGACAATGCAACTGGGAGGCGGTAGTCTTTCATTGACAAATGAATACTGGATCGCTCGATCTCGATACTACCTTAACGTTGGAGGTGTTGTAATGGGTATAGTCCTTTGTTGAAACGGCTCGAAGCGACGTCTGGCGCATTTAAGCGACAGTTAAGGGTGCTGACGATGTCAAATTACCACCGTTTCGAGCTCACAATTTATGGTCCTAAGAGTCTGTCGAGACAGAAATGAATCGAACGAGAGATGATAAGTTGTAATCTTCTACGTAGCAAAAACGATTCCTGGTATACGAGTAAAATGAGAATTAAGCTGGTTATCGAAGTGAAACATTTTCAAACTTGACAAATAAAAATCCAGTTTTTAAATAATTCAAAAAAGGAAATGGTATAAATTAGTAGCTAGTGCACCTTTGAATTTTGTAGTTCCAAGTGCTTTCGCACAGTGATTACAGGAGCATTACGAGGATTACGGGACGATCCTTCCTTTACCAAGCATTACATATTAACGACTGTGGAGAGCCGGAGTTACCAAACTCAATAGTTTTCAATTACAAGTGATTTGAGCAGCGGTAATCCACCGACGTGATGGGATTACATCGTTTTAATCTATGGAAAGTACATGGTGTAATTCGCCTACGTTAAATGTACGAACTGAAAATCAGGTAATTATCAAATGATAAAGAATCTTCCCTTCAATTTAAACCCACAAATTGGGTTACTTATATCGTATTTAAAAAACTACCTCGACTGTCACCTATATGAATATATCTGGCATTAAAAAAGATGAATAATAACTGGGATAATATATAAAGAATTTTTCATCAAAAGAGAAAAATTATATTCGAGCCAACCACATGAATAGTTTTATCAAACGTTATAATCCGTAGTCCCAGCCGCAAAATGAGGTTTTTGATAAATTAAACATTGTAACACAAATAAATGTATAGATATGGGTCGACGCGTGAACCTGCAATTATACCCGCCGACCAAAATAAATGAATTGCTTTGTGCAAATCACTGAAGCCAACTCGGACTACCAACCACTGACCCCCCGTTGTACCCACATTTTCCACGACCCCTTCGCACCAGAACCAGATGCACACTGCATTCAATTGTGTTGAGTTTGGTTTTGGGTCGAATCGACGAATATGGGAATGGGCGTGGGGTTTGTTTTAATTTCGCGGCTACACCACCGCGGTCAACACAGTATTTCCAATAAATACTGCGAGTTTAAATTCGAAATCGCTTTGTATAGAATCTGAAATACACTTTGTAGCTTTTTGGATGAAACGTTGATTCAAAAACGGAACAATAAACATTTTTCATATCAAAACAGATAATTTTTTGCGGTAAGAGGATAATAATGTTAAATAAAAACTTTCGTCGGCCACAATACATAACTGGATCATATTTGCGGAATAACCACTACTAGACTAGTGTTAGTTCTAGTTTTAGTTGTTATTGTCTTATTCCATTTATAATTCTTAAACATAATTTTTAATTATTCAATTATATCTTCACGTATTTTAAGGTATGAACACCTTTATAACGCTTTCGAGATTTTCTCTCATTAGAGCGGAAATACAGATGTTGTTTTGTTGCCGAAAGCACAGGGCGGTTTCTTTGTTCGTTGCATTATTCCTCTGCCCTCTAGGCCATTATCTCACTTTGTAGTCTTCCACACAGAGCACGTTGCTCCTTCCACTAATTAAATAGCGCGTTCGAAAATTAATGACTTAATTATTTTTGTTAATACCCCCAAAAAGGGCGTCGTCATCCTTGTCGGCTTACTTAGTTACACAGGTGTCGGAGTCGTTGATTCGGAAGGGATGTTATACACGCCATCAAAGGACTACCGGGCGCCTTAATTTGAATTTTGCATACGAAACAACTTTTTTCAGAGGTACGTTCGGTTTAGAGTTGGAGTGGGCTTTCAAAGTTTCATCGGACGTCGACGCTCTCCAGGTCCGGCACAGGCAAGAAAAACCGTTAAATCCACTTAAATTGTTAATTCGAAACTTTCGAAACCGACTGGAAGTAAATAAAAATAAATGGACGAACAACGGATTCTGAAAACTTCGGCCAACTTGGTTTGTTCGAAAATTTAAGTTGGATCGAGAGATGTTGAGAACATTTAAACTTCTACGAATTAAATTTACATCATCAGCCTTTTGAGTTTATGTTGTTTTGGATGGATTTTCGAACGAGATTTACAAAAAGAAATACTTTAAGTAGGATTAACTAGGAAAATAAATTTATTTCACAATGTTAGTTTTGAATTATTGTGTTTATCGAAAATTGTAAAATACATAATACCATTTTGTTATTTATTTTTAGTTATTTAAATAAAACACATTTACTACGTCCGCATATTTTTTTATTTATAAGTTGCTGATTTGAAAATACTGTTTTTGCAATATTTCACCAAAGGTGGAAAATAAAATGGAAATCGTTATAAAATTGTAATATAATATTGACTGTTTTATTATGACTTTTTCAAAAAAAAAAAAGTAAATACAAATATTTTATAACACCAATTGTTATAAACCCATGCATAGCAAATATATAAAGATTTGTGGATTAAACCATTTTTTATTTTATTCTTTGCCCTCTATTTTCTTTTTCACCAGTAATTTGCGAAAACTGTATGTGGACGTGGTTCGCACTTGAACACGAATTGAAAAGTCGCCGTCCGAAGTGAATAAACACCCGGGAGGGGGTCAGAAGAGAGACCCGGAAACGGCAGCGGTTGCGGTTCGTAAAAGGCGAAGTGAATTCAAATCCGTCGACGGCAGGAGATGGAAACTGGAAGTGGGCCGTAGGTCGGAACAAGTAGGGCGGGGTCCTTTCGTACGTTGCCTTTTCCGCCACTTGCACGTCCTCGACGGCAGCATCTACGTCCAAAAGTGGGACAACACGCAGACGGTTTAAAGCCCTCTTCAGAACCGATAGGTAAACACATATTGGTATGCCACCAAGAACGTTTAAATGGCATAAATAGTGTGGACGTGCTTACTTTTTGAAATGAACAGCACAATTTTACTTTGTTTCATTACTAAGCTTTGACGAATTATTTTATAAAATTTAAATTTATAAATTATAAATGAAACAAAAGTAACTGGAATTTTCCGGACTGTTGGTTCTGAACAAAGAATTGATGTAATTGAATTCAACTTTGACGCGCCCACAGCAAATACCCGACTTATACACGCCCAAACTTTAAATCTCGAACAGTCTAGTTACAGAAGCGCAAATTCGAACTCCGACAAGAACCCGAATTCAAATGAGAATAGTTTTGAACATCCTGCAACTGTTTGATAGGCGACAGATAGATACAATGGAGTTGCAAGTAAATTCTGCAACCTCTTTTCTTTCCGATACAAATTGGAAATCTACGAATCGTAAGATTTAATAAAGAAATTTACAATTCTAATGACTAGTTTTTAACTAACTTAATATATACTAAAATTTTCAATCATTAAATTCTTGACTTACGTATTCAATGTCATGTACAATCCTGGAAACATCCCAAGTGGTTTATTTCTGACTTCATGCTACTGCTAAAGAAACGTGGAGCTAAGGTATTTCTTCAAACAATTCATACGAGAATATACAGAGTATGCAAAGAAAAAATATCAGACACGCAGTTTAGATTAATAACTTTTTGTTATTGATTGTATTTATTATTTGAGTTTATTGAAATAATTTAAGAACACCTATACATACTAAGAATTCTTATAGTGAATTCTTGTTGCAAAGCTTTTAGCAAACTCCCGTTCTACATTAACACCACTATTTATGCACGTTCGTACTCTCGTGCATTTTTTATACCCCTACAGGGAGAGAAACTTCTGAAATTGTATTTATGGGATTGCACTTTCATGTTAGAAAACTTTTGAACTTCCCGTCACTTTTTCTTGATAAAGTATCTAACACCATAAGAAAACTTTTAAAATCAACCTAATTCAATTCATAATTCCAAATTAATTTTATATATTTTCTATTTTTTTTTATAGCAGGAACTCGAGGAGACGGCACATCTCCAAAATACCCGGTTATTGTGTTCATCCACGGCGAGAGTTATGAATGGAATTCGGGGAATCCCTACGATGGTAGCGTTCTCGCTAGTTACGGAGGCGTCGTTGTGGTAACCATCAATTATCGGCTGGGAATATTAGGTAAGCCGAAAAAAGAAGTTTATACCGAGAAATTCCTGCAGATTAAACCGCGATATTACGATTTAACGTATGCGTTTATGTGCATTTAACCGTCAAAACGTAACGGCTATCGCCAGATTTGCCCTTTCGAACCGGACTAATAATCGAAACTGGGAGGAATTAAATTGTTTGCGTACCGGGTTTAATCGAGCCGTTTGCTAACCCTAAACAATCAAGCCTCCTAGGAAATTTCAAATACGGTTACATCTCGATTGTAATCGGAAACTCAAGCTACAAAGCTACCTCTATGGGGCAAAAGGCTATTTGCATTGATCGGCATCTGATTATCACATAACCCTAACTAATAGTTAATATTGACGTCATCATAATAGCACTGATTATTTTTTTTAGATAAATAGTTTTCGTATAATTAGGTACTAACTTTATATAAAAGTCAAATTATTAGGATTCAGCTTAAGTGAAGTTATTTTTAGAATTCATATTTTCAAGCGTTATCCAGGTCAAGAATAGCGGGCAATCTTCCATGAAACCTATCGTAATTTTTGCCAAATGAGATTTTTTCCAGGAGCAAAATCTCCTTCATACTTTGGATTAAGTTATAACTTTCCAAACATACATTTTTCAGACGGTGATTGCGTATTTATCACGATGAAAGCAAACGGTTCGATATAATTTAAGAGTTTTCGTCACGTTTTGCTCTAAATAAAATGTTGAAAAGGGTTAATATAGACAAAAATTGGAAATAAAACATTTAAAATTTTACAGATTATCACGGTAGTTTACATGCAATATAACACTAACTTTATGTGGCGTAAAAGGGTAATTAGCATGTTTAGTATTTCGTGCATAAATTTTTTGTTATTATGTTAATATCTGTCAACATAACTCAGCAAGCTCACGTGCTACTTTAATAATATTATATTAGGTATATACATTTTTAAACGTCAATAAGTAAGTATAACCGCAAATAGAAAACAGTTCATAAAGTTTCTAGGAATAATTCTCCCCAACCCGACGAGCTTTAAATGATGTGATCTCCGCAGACGCAATAACCGGCAAGTTTAAACACTCGTAATCCCTCAGACTGACGCCGAACATCTGCCGTTTCCACCACCCACCTCCGACCAAAACTCCAACTGTCGGAGTGTGCACCCGTAAGTTATGATGTGTAACTATTAGCTTCGTTTCTGTTGAACCTGAGGGGCCGATGCGGGTTCGTTGCTGCTTCAGGGCCGCGTCCGTAAACTTCCAAATTGCTCAAGTTCGAACTCGCCAAGCACAGCGACTCCGAGAAAAGCGGCCGGCAATTTAAGGAGGTGCTGAATTACGGAATCCCATTCCTGGATACGCAGTCATGTACGCCCGTTAGTTTGGACCGCAGTTGGAAAGTAATTTCGTTTACAATGTGCCAAGAAGCATAAGGAGTCATCTCTCTGGAGACTGAGTTTACATCCCCTACAGACCGGTAAAGGATTCAGCAATTCTATTTGGTACTCGTCGACTCGAATAACCGCCTTTGTGCATCGTGGATATGCATAATTATAATAACTGGTTTAAACGCAACTACAATAAAATACAATATACATGGCTATTAAAAAGGCATTAATGGACTTTCTTTCTGCTTTTCTGAACATTTATGGTTAATGAAATGAGAGGAAATTGAAAATGGAAACTTGGTTTCACCTTTAAATTATAGATAAAATCTTCTTGTTTTAGATGATGAGTAGTTTAGATGAAACTAAATTGGAGAAAATAACTCTTCTATAAACAACAAAATCATGTGATTAAAATAGAGTTTGTTGAATTTAGTAAACAACATATATAAATCAAGGTATAAAATATACAACTTGATCAAAGTTAAACATAATCTCTGCTTTATACCATTTATAAAGTGAACTGAAAGCTTGAAATCAAATTAAATTGTAACACCATCGAATGCAATGAAATTGTATTTTAATTAAAAGTAAATACATTGTTGACACGCATTTCACTATTGGCTATTTTTTCCAATACCGATTTGCAGGTAAATTTGCATTTTAAGCGATCTCTATAATTTGATCATTCCTGATTAATTAAAACTAAAATCGTGCTAAATCAAAATAAGCAAATAAATTCTTTTCTTCAAAACGGAGACTTTAAAGTCTTTAAATGGATCCAAAATACAGTAAACTTAAGGAAATGGTTTCCCACTAAACATTGATGGTCCCCAATGGGTGGCTGTCGATATTTACCGTTATCTAAAGGATTTCCTTTTACGTGCACATATAAACTTCCGGTGGAAATGCTCCACCAGATTGAAGCCGAAAGGGCCGCGCCTTCTCCCCAATTCATTACGTTTTCTTCCGCAATAAAGACCTCGGCGGCTCGCGCGAGCTGGTCTGTAAAGTTTTAAGGACTCGGTTAGTAAAAAATTCACCGCGGTTGTTTCAACCGGGCAAATGAATTTAGCCGGCGGAAGCTCAACGGGTTCTTCGAACTTAAAGTTTTCCTCTTCGTACTATAAATTTTTAAGCGATCGCCGCCAGTGACGATCGCGGATTTTCCCGAACTCTCCCGTCCGCTTATTTGATTTACCGCTTTACTTTCAATTTCTGAAAAGGGGACTAAGAGGATTACCTCCGTAATTGACAGTGATCCGATTGATTCCATTTATTTCGTGCCCCGTCGATTGATAAAACGAAACAAAAGGATACGTGAGCGGATAGGTTTCGATTTAACATGCGAGATTGAATCAAAAAAAAATAAATACATTGAAACAACGAAAATAAAAATAATTAGCTGGGTTATGTGATTATTTCAATTTATTTTTTTGGTGATTTAGTATTATCATTTTATATGGAAATTTTCTATTTCTTGAATAATTTATGTAGAGCATATATTTCCATACATCGAAGCTACATTGATATATGCACGACAAAGTGTCCATTCCTTTTTCCATTTTATATGTATTTCATACGAGATTGATTTTTCTCGTTTTACATCGTCTCTTTCAGAACGAATCTCTTCCGGACGGGTGTAAGAAAGGTGCAGTCATGTAGAGGAAACCGGACCCCCATTTATGGATGGAGGCCAAAGCTATGGTCCGAAAGAATCGATTTAGAATTACACAAGTGTAAAGTCCGAGGGGTTTGTGAAAAAATAATAGTCGCTGCGACAAAAGAGGGTTCCGAAATCTTAATCGACTTTACCAAGGATATCTCCGCATTTCGTTAAGGGGCTTTTAAGATTTCTGTGCTGGAAATATTTAAAGGTATCAAAAGGAATATTCAAGTAAATCTGCAATATATACTTTTTGAATCATCTCGTTATCTTTAAAAATAAAACTTTGAATGGGCTACATTCGAAATTGTTCGCAAAGAAATTTCACGAAATATTGAAATGTACATCGAGAATTTTCCAGAACTCCAATTTAAATAGGAGCCCCTATTTCGACGCAATTGAGATGCCTTTGAAGTGGGCTACTTTCAAGCACAACATTGAAACAATATAACTGAAATTACAAAATCCACTCGTTATTATAGACGTATACCCAAAAATGTAGTATCTAATATATTTTGTACATAAATTTAAGAAACTGCAGGGAGAAAACGTTATTTATAGTGCTATTTTTATCAACTCATTTCATATTCTAGTCTTAAAAAAGCGGTATGAGTAAAATTATAAAAAGCTTTTATTATTTCAACCCTTTTTGATATGAAAGGAGCATTATATCAACATTAAATTTTTAAGTGGACGCCACCGAGGATTGAAGCTTCCGTTTAAGGACATTATATACTTCACCTTCTTTCCCTTGGGAGCATTAAAGATTGATCTTTATTTTCACGACCTTTCTCCACTCGTACCCCCCGTTGGAGGGGTGTGGCAGATACACGTATATAATCCTGAAGGTTGTGGTATACCGTCGTGGAAATTTAGATTTACGACCACGCTTATTTATTCACACGCCGTAACAGTTGGGGTTTGGCTTATGAAATAGTGTTTGTTCGAAATATCGTGAAGGGTTATGAAAAACTTCTTTTTAGAAGGATGTCTTGTTATCAATCAAATTTTCATGTCATCAAGTAAGAAAAAAAAATTTTAATATCTTGATTTGTAAAAGAAAATGTAAAATTCAATTTGTAACAAATTTGTAAAACTAGTCCGATATGTGTTTGCTAAAGCACAATATTTTACGTAAATGTTACAAATTCTTTTTTTCTGTCAGCAGTATTTAGTCTTCTATCAACAGCATCTAGTTTTCTGCCTCCAGTATTTTATCTTCTACAAGCAGTATTTAGTCTTCCATTCACAGCATTATATGTTCTATTAGTCTCCTATCAGCAGTAAGCAATTTTCTGCAAACAATATCTGGTATTCCATGAGCAATCACTAATTCTAACTTGCAATATTTAGTCATCTGCCAACAATATTTGGTCTTCTATTAACAATATCTAATCCTCTGCCAGCAATAAGTACACTATTAGCTGGAATAATTTATAATAGAGATAACAAGAATGAGAGAATTACGAGGATTTGTACCTAACAACGTCACATAGAATGACAGAAAAGTATAATTCATCTTTTAGAAAGCAGCAAAACTTATTGTTCCAGTAAAGTTTTTGGCAGCTATGATAACCTCTAATATTCAATTTTAATTAAGGAGAAGAAATCCAATTAAATAAACGATAATATCAATAAATTTTTTATTTTTTCTTCATCAAAGATAACATACCAGTCAACTATATTAAGTTACACTCAACTATCATTAAGCTACAATATAGTATTATCGCTTACTAATGATAATCTTGTAGTATCGATGCCGTCCTAATTAGAACAGAATACAACATTGTGTATTGTGTGTAACCTAGATTTCAGCTGTTTGATTTTAATTATGTAGAACACGTCACATTATCCATAGTGCCCTACGGAAATATTATTAATAATTTATACGTAATCCTATATTGTTTGAAATATTCATTTATGATAAACTCGAGCAGATGCATTTCACCAACGACAATATCATGTTTAGTAGGAGCAGTATATCCGGAGTTAGTAACGTTTTCAATCAGAAAGAGCGTCGCAACGGAATCGCGTTAATAAACCTTCGGTACTATCGAACATTCCTCGATCGTTTCAGTTTATATCCGGCAGTAAAGCCAGATTAAGGTTACGACTAATTCCACAGACAAACACCCTCCCTATCCCCCCACACGCTTTGCCAACCCTCACCCGACACCACCTCTTTTGCATTTGCATCCACGAGCAGTAAATCACTCGTTTTGCCCGTGCAAAAGACATCGACGACCCACCCGGCGACAAATCTTATCTCTAATTATGCACGTCCGATCGGATTTCGGCGTCCCGACGTCGACCACCAGCTGGAAGAGAAAAAAATCGACCTCCATTTCACCCTTGGAATTGCAATTACACGAGTTTGGTCTGATGATTCAGACACTTCTGTACAGTTCATGGCAAAATAAATATATTTTATACAAAAAAGAATTTCCTAACTCAAAGGCGGAAATTTGATTTGTAAAAAGCTAATATTCCATTCGATTAAGTGGTTGTTGAGTCTTTCGAGATTTTTTAAAGGAGATATTATCGAAAGAGCATGTCTTTCTTGATAAACTGTACGTGGTCGTGCATTAAGGGAATGTTCTGGTTGGTACCAAGGGACGGTTTTCCGTCCGTCGGCGAATTGATAATGCTTCGTTTCTGGACCGGAGCGCGTGACGAGAATTGCAAAGGACGGTATAGGCGATGTCACGCACCCTAAAGTGGACGCGCGAATGATAATTAATGATGCTGTGGGTCCAGGACGTAGTTGGGTCCCACGGGGACTACGTTCTGAACGCCACTAACGACTGTAGATAGGTGAATAATGAATTCTAAACTCACCGCACGGCTGCTGCTGGCCGCGCCGTTCTGTATCAGTTTTCACAATTATCGTTGGTTGCTGAGCGAAGTGGACGGAATAGAATTCTTAATTAGGGACACGCAAGATACAAATGGTTCAAATGGCCACCAACGTCGTAATTATTCAAAATATAATTTTAGTTCAATTCAGAACTCATTACGAGTTTTATACTAAATCCACCCAAACTGTAATAAATATAGGTATAGATAAATAAATTCATAAATATTTGTTTTTTTTTTAACCTACTGGGGCAAGTTTTTCCATTTAAATTATTCCCGACAATACATTTGCAATATTCCATGAAATGCAAGTGAATTGAATAACGAAAACAGCGCTGAACATGAAAAAGCAAACCAAATAAACGAATCGTTTTCACATGTAAATATCATAAAGCAGAGTTTCTGTCACGGATCGTTAAATACGTTTTGACAAAAAAAATATTTAACGCGTATACGATTTTGACATGAGATTTTCGAAATACTTGACGCATGCCTCCGGATATAAACCGTTTGGAAATGAAAATTTAATCCGTCTGTTTCACAGTTAATGCAATTCGGAAGTAACGGGAACGTTGTTTTGGTCGTTTCAGGTTTTCTAAACACGAACACGGATCCTTACTCAAAGTCTCCGTCAAACTATGGCCTCATGGACCAGGTAGCAGCGTTGCACTGGATTAAAGAGAATATAGCGTACTTTGGCGGTGATCCAACCAACGTGACGGTTGCAGGTCACGGAACAGGTGCTGCCTGTGTTAATTTTCTCATCACTTCCAGTACTGTACCAGAAGGTAAGATTTACTTCACAATTTTAAAGAAATGTATTAAAAAGTAATTTTTATCTCTATTTCTTAAATTGTAAGATATTTTCTTGTATATCTTAATTACAATCATTCATAAGTTATCTGATGTTCCGTTACAAAATCATCTGATAAAATTTTAATTCAATAAAAGTTTTAGTTAAATACCTACTGAAGGAGTTTACACGGCTCATTACCAAACTTAACAGTTCGGCCCATCCCTACGAGCGAAACTGAAATTACTTTCCGATACGTTACGTTATCAATAAGCTCGGAGACGGTGGGCGTCGAATTTTCTCGAAAACAGGGCTCCAACTTCGCTAGGTCCAGCTTAAGGAAATTACCTGGGCGCAAACTTGGGAATTGCCTTGGATTTCCAGGGAGACGCTCTCAAGATGTAAACAAGGACGACAAGGGCCTCAAGCTTCGTACTACCTTCAAGCCTCTAAACCTTGCTTGACTAAAACACTTCGGTTGGGGTGATCGTTAACGGTATTAAGCGATATAAAGATGTTGGACATCGACGCAAACTACCTGATAAATTATTAGTGGAGGAGAATCCGTGGTTAACGACGTCTTTTAATTAAAATAGCAAAAAAGGAGGAAGTTACTTTTATCTATGACTTAAAGTAATATATCCACTTTAATTAATTATACATGCCAAACATAAACGAAACGTTCCTCAGTCGGATATACGACACCGGTAGGACGAATGGTGAATTCTCACCAGCTCCGTGAATAACGAGGCCACACAATGCACATTCCCCCGGTCTGAAACACAAACCTTAAACTCGCTCGACTAGAACAATCGGAACCATTATTGCAGGTGGCACCGAACGGCAGCATCATATCCAACGAACATACGCCTAGACTCCGATTCGTGACGATAATTTCAGCGTACACCGTCATATTATGGCACGTTTAATCTAGGCCCTACGTAAATTATGCAGCTGGGTGCTTCGGTAAGGCAGTTTGACCCCAAAGTACATACTGACCGACAAACCTCAGCCGTCGACGAGCTAAAAGTCAGCGTCTGTTAACTGCAACCGCACCTCCAAATTAGTTCCTACAACTCGGACTGTATTTTCGCGGTTGGACCATGGTCATTGTCACTTCACCCGAAAAGTTGCTAATTTAATGGGCTGTTACGCGAACGTTAGAACTTACCATCTCTAAATTTCGTACGACTAATTAATTAGCAGGACCAGCCTTTGTCCTTTGTAGTAATCATAAACATTTGTGAAGAGTACACACTTCAAGTAGTTCTAATTATAAGTTAATTCCAAGTTGTGAGAAAAAATAAGAATTAATTTCCTAAAAGTAGTTTAGACCAAAGCTTTCAACGACCCATCAATCATCCTAATCAAAGTGCTCCCAGTAATAACGGCTATCAAATTAATCAGGGTGCCGAATTAGTTTAGTAATTATTCGGCATTGTCCATTTGAGGGGCAATCCGCGAACTAATTTACTAATGCACCGTTAAACAGCGCCTATGCACTTAGTCTTGTGATACTAATTATCCCAATAAATGCTGGAGTGTATAATAAAACGTCCTTTCTAATTATATTAGATACTATTAAGTGGCTAAAATAGTTTTATTTGGATTTTGAAGATCTATAATTTTTGTTTGATTTCTAAGTCAAACAAAAAATAAGCCAACTAAAGAGAATAATAATAAATAGCGATCATTATACACAGTTCGGTTGTAAATTCGCCCGGCGGTGCTATCTGGGGGTCGTACATCAAACCGGTGCCCGTTGGGCGTCTTTGAACCTCTGCCAACTGGCATTGTCCGCTCCGATCTCTGTAATTGACTTATTGGTCGGAAGCGAACTTCGAGATCGATAAAGACGGCAGAACCTCGTCCTTCCGGAAATTTTCTCGCAGACCGGAAGAAGTCAAATATTCCCTTGGCATTTTTAAAGGTCGAACGTCTTCACAGAACCCGTAATGTTAAACAAAGTCAAATCGTTATAACACTTTTTAAGCAACGTTAAACTTTATCAAATCGATTGTTAATCTTCAAGAACATTTAACTGCCAGTCAAGTATTGGAGTTAGCAATTCATTTTCGACCAACGAACGGAGAGTTCTCTAAATATTTACTCTCTTCCGTTCCTTCTAGGGGTCCTGTTCCAGAGGGCAATTCTGATGTCCGGCTCGGCGCTTTCACCGTGGGCGCTGGTTCAAGAGCCCTCCAGGTATGCCGCCCAAGTGGCCATCTACGCCAACTGCTCCCCAGAGCTACCACAGCCTCATCTGCTCAAGTGCCTTCGTGAAAAACCTCTGGAGGTGTTGATGTCAACCCCAATTCAAGCGCCAGAGTTCGCATTTGCCTTCGGTCCAAGTGTCGATGGGGTCGCTATAGATACAGGAGAATCTCCAGGTGAGTCTAGTTTATATTAATGAAAAAAAGGGATAGTAGAGTTTGTAGCGATTTTATAAATCGCAGTAAAAATAACACGTTCACGCATGGTATCAGTATAATTGTGGTATATTTCAGGATATATTTGCTTGCGTTCGCCCACCGAATATCAATTTATGGCTTGGCAAACAAAACGGTCGTGTTTACAATTCATTTGACTTTCAATAACCGTTTTTTTGTATAATTTCAATCGAGTGGGGGTTTGATATCCACTCCATTTCTTTTTTTATAATAGTTAAAATATAAAATTGATATCTAATAATTCAACATTTCTTTTTTTAGGTGATAATCCTCATCACAACGATTTCGAGATGGGAAAATCGCCAAAGATCGAACCAATAAACACCATCAACATCCTCAACAGAGTCCTTTTAAGAAAATCCGTAGTTTCAAAACTTTCAAAGTACGATTTAATGTTAGGTGTTGTTAAAGCGGAGGCTTATTTCGCCTTTAACGGTGAAGACGTTCAATACGGGATAGAAGCGGATAGAAGATCGAAAATTCTCAGAACGTTTGTTAGAAACACTTACAGTTATCATTTATCAGAAATTTTGGCCACTATCGTTAACGAATACACCGATTGGGAACGACCCGTACAACATCCGATAAACATCAGGGATGAAACTTTAGAGGCATTATCGGATGCGCAATATGTAGCACCCGTGGTTCATACTGCTGATTTACATTCTGCCGAACATAGAAATTCCTATTTATACGTGTTTGATTATCAAACAAAATTCGGAGATTACCCCCAGGTGAGGAAAAATTTATTTTAATTAAACGGTTTTATTTATATTGGATTTAAATTCGAAATTAAATGGAGCAATCACAAAGTGCTATACGGTTTCAATTTACAATCATACGTTTAAAAAATCTTTAATATTTCCATTCAAATATTTTGTATCGAACATTCGCCGAGCACTTTCATTGATTGCAGGTTAATGGAATTGTTCGAAAAATTTCACAATCCTTTCGAAATGCGATGTCGATGATGTTAAACTACGAACACGAATGTAGTTAAATAGATCGAATATTTAATAACAAATTGTTGAAGTATGTTAAAAATTCTCAATTATTAAAAGTAATTTACGTGATGTTTAATACCATGTAATTTACTAGCACTTAATCGTTAACACTATTCAATTTTAAGCCGTCGCATGTACATGAATCCATATTTTACCCGTTAAATAATCACAATTAAAATTTCTTATTATGCTAAACCTCATGTGTATACGCTATATCACTTCACATTATTCATTACACTTTATAATCCTCATAACTCAGCATTAATTTTGAATAGATAACTTAAAAATAGTGTTCCATATATTTTCCTAACATAAAGCAACGTTATATTTGTGTAACACAACTCGTTTAAAAGTCGCATTAATACCGCAACATCGGTTCGTGCATATGTTGTTAGAACCGCATCGAGCTTACAAAGCTGTTTGCCGTTAACGCGGTCACTTGTTTGTCCACGTGTATTCAATGACCACTTCTATTCAGTTCCATACCTCTTGATGGTGAAGAGACTCTCTTTAGCATAAATGGGGCCAATGTGGTCAACAAAATTTTACATAAACATTACATAAAATATACTAGTAAATGTAGGAAAAAGATTCAAAAGGATTCTAAACAAAATATTCCCACCTATTTTTTTTATTACGCTTGTAATAAAACCGAGTTACTTAGAGTATTACAAGAACAAAGGTACTAAAAATTCAATTTGCCTAAAATCCTTAAAACTTTTTATGGAAAACCGTAAAATTTTTGATTGAAGTTGCTGTAGCAATTATTTTTTTATATTTTAATGTTATATATCAATTTTAAATTGTTTTTAAATATCGTTGCAAAATATACCAAATGCATGAGGTACAGAGGAAAATTTACATACCTGTAGAGCGTGGTGCACGAATATGCGAATCAGTTAATTTTGCCGGTGGCTGCTTTTCACATTTTGATAATTGCCTCGTTTCAACTTATTACCGTGCAAACAGCAAACAAAATCTTGCACCGTAGTCAATGTTTATTATGGTATAAGCCCGGGGGTAATAAACTGACCGTTTATTGTTTGACAAAAAAGGTTCGAAAATGAGACGAAAATTTCCCATAGCCAATCGTTGATCTGTGTACCCATTGTTTGACCGTTTATGTTGCATTTTTTTAAGCGTCATGATGTAGGCAATAAAAGTGCAGAAGCGGGGGCCTTTTTTTGTTTTTTATTTTTTTTTTCGTTCGTATCCCACCAGTCGGTGAAGTATATAGAGCGGTAAATTACCGATAACTGTTTGCCGATAACCGATTTTTTTATTATTTGCGATCCTTTTATTTTTATAGTTATAAAAACAGTACTCCAAAGCTCGACTAATTCCAACGCAACCGAACCCCCTTTTGAAATACGAAGCAGGTATGTAGGGGTTTGTATCTCAGTCCAGTATAAGCACACATTCCGTACGTGCTTTATCAGCAAAGTGAAATTATAACCAAACTGTTATGAAGCAGGTTTTGTATGTTTCTGCACCGCTATCTAATTGCTAGAATTCTGTAAATTCGTTTATTTTAAAATTACATAAGATAACGTGTGAGATTTGTTTTAGTACATTTTCTTACTTATATTCTCAACATTTTTATTGATACTTATATAAATAATGTTACGGCAATTTAAACTTTAAACTGTGTTAAAAGCTTCTCGAATATTCCTTTTGATCGTAAACTTTTCAAAGTTTCTTCGCGACCCGAATGGCGGTTAAGTAAGCTCATCTATTTTTAAGCTTTAAGTTCCGTCGGGAAACCCACGGGTTTTGTTGTTTCCTAACCGGATATTGTTCGCTGATGGGATCCATTAACCTCGTACACGTTGATTCGATACTTCCCACACATCAAGAATTTTCAAAATTCCATTAATCTTTTTTCTATTCTTAGTTTCACAACGATCACAAATATCACAATTTACAATAAATAACGAGATTCTATAAAAAAAGTTTATATAGAATAAATTGGTCAACCTGGAAGTTTATAATTTGATACAACCTAAACTTAAATGTTCCTTTATAGCCTCAAAAATAATTGTTCCTTAATTCGTTATCGGTTTAGAGAGGGCAATGTTTATGTAAAATCAATGGATCAACTTGGAAGCTTATAACTTGATATAATCCAATCATAAACGTGTCTGAAAAATTTGATTATATACAAGTAGGATTTAATAACAAAAGTGGTAAAATGAGATTGAAAAAAGGATGTATAACTGCAGATTAAAGTGAACACGAGACAACCTCGAGTTGTAGGCAGTAGCGAGAAATTAAAAGTTTTCTTTTTTAAAAAATTAAAACTCCACAATTATGCAACTACGGATATGGACTTTGGTAGAAACGGTTTCGCGTGTCCGTTTTTATTTTCGCAGTGTTTTTACCGGCGTAAAAATGTTTTACCAACTACGCGTTGTTCATTGTGTCAACTGTCGAGGCGAAATGCTGAAAAAATCAACGAAACATGCTCAAAGTTATGCCGTTAGATTCTACTTTTTGTTTTTTTGTAAACGCTTTTGTGAAATGTTTACTGAAATCCCTGAAAACTAATAATTGTTTTCGAACACTATAAATAATTTCTCAATTAACTAAAAGTAAGTAAAGTCTTGGAAATTCATTAATTTATCTTTTCCTAGTTCGCATTTGTCACTCGTTCCCTACCTAATTTCTTGCTTTACCAATTGGCATTAGAAGACAATAAGGGACGTTGAGGAACGTGTACAAATGCGGCGGTCTACTGCAGCCGACACCGCAACGTCTTGCAACCTAAAGTGGCCACAAGAAAAGACAAATGCTTTATTCAGCTTCCCCTGTTCCCTTTTGCCACCGCCTTTACCCTACAAGGTGCGGTGCACGAGAGAGCTCCTGACGAATTCCTGCAATTATAAAGACTGAAGGTGCGCCGCCTGTTCCGACGACAAGAGATTGATTAACCGTAGAGAAAGGCGCACACCGTCCTTATCCGTCTCAATTTCTTTCGCTCATAACCCCCCAAGACCGGCAGGATTACTAAACTTATTTGTCGACGCTCCGGGAATCGTCGGGAAGCAGCGGACATATTTTATAACTTTTCGACTTAAAGTGCGACGCCTGGAAATGTACACGTTCGGCGAGTGTCAGACAAAATGGGGAAGGATTTTATTTTCGTTGTTATGTCATGATATATTTCCCTCCTAAATAAGACATTTTAAATCACGATTTATTTTATTTCTCATCTTTATTGACTTTATTTCATTAACTTCAATTTAACAGAAAACTTGAATTGAAAATTAACGTAAACATCTTCTATTCACGGTGGTAAGTCAGTAGGGCAACTCACAAAAGTGTTAATTAATGCAAGAGCAACCTTCCGTTTAAAAGCAATGAGAGGTAGTGGCGAAAGCGTAAAAAAGACTAATTAGCCCTGTGGAAATTGCTTCTTGATTAACGCACAGTGCGAGAGCATTGTAGAGAGCTTGTCCGGAAGCTTTCCGTGAAAGTTTTCCCTTCGCTTTTCCTCCTTCTTTTTTCTTGGCTTGACGTCCTGTTATCGCGGCAACAAAGAGCGAAAACTTCTCATCCACGCCGAGCCGTTAAGACTTAATGGCGGATTTAAAGTTTGATGGAGATCGGGTTTTCCGTTTGCTTTATGAACGTTGCTTCTTTGATAATAAGAGGCGAAACAATTTTAATGAAATTTTCAAGCTAATCGTGCTGCAGTAATAACCGCTTAAGTTCCATATTAAAACAACTTGAAAAAAAAATTGAAATTCAAGTAGGCACATTAAAATTCAGTCATACTTGTGCATTCCACCGGTATAACGCAAACTCGTGCTTTTGGGGTTTCCCAAAGGGTCTAATGCCATTAAGAGTTTCTCACGAAGGTCCTGCAGAAATTTAATGCCGAAATGGGTCCGTTAATTTGTGCCCTCCTTCAATTACGGAGGACAATAACAAGTCCTCATTGTCACCCGTTTGATTGTTATACGAACCTTAGCGAAAATATCTTCCTTTTCGGCATTGTGCTCCGTTCCGTTTGGGCCAATCTTCAAGAAGTGTTGATTTACAGTGGCCAATCGACGATCTCTTGAAATACCGAGCTATTAAGATTGCTCCCGTGGGGCGTCGGCTGCAACCTTCCGGTTGACTGTTCCTCGCTCGGAGTCGTTTTCTCTCTGTTCGCTGTCGTCTTTTCGGATTTCTCCGCTCCCTGGATCGGATCCAAGCGACTGTATTCGCTCATTGCAGGGGATAAAAGGGTCCCTGACGCGGAAAGGGCACATTTTCAGGATGCCACCGATGCAAGGCTTAATTTATTGTGCAAAATATTGTCCTTCTCGTGCAGCAGCGTTCATCGTTCCTTTTTAGTTTTTTGGCCACTGCCCCGCTTCGTTATTCACAACTGGAACGTTATTATTCTCTCCGCCCTCGCGTTTTACCCCTTAAAGACTCCATTCATCTAGCATTTTGTATTCAGAAAGCGGGGTTTTAGTGAAATCACCGGACTCGAAGTTTACCGGGATTTATGGTGTTCATCGGAAGACGTCTTCGGTGTGTCTCTGTTTACCGGCTAATCAGATTTTCACGAGCTTCAATAAATCCTTTCAAAGCTTCTCTAAAATACAGCGTTTCAAACTTGTACACGCTATACAAAATCAATAACTTAATCCAACTAATTATCTTAGATTTCATATTGAATTGCGTCAAATTACATATTTCTTCATTAATGATTTTTATTATAATATTTAAAAAGA